CCAAAAAACAAATCATTAATCTAAGTGGACCCTTAGTGCCTAATTGATGCTAGCAAGATGCAGCTTTAGTCCATGACACACAGTGTGCAAGGGAGAAGGGTCCAGGAGAGAGAGGCTGGAATAGAGGAATCCACTCAGAAGTCTGGCCAACTTGGAAATCTTTCTGCCAAGAACTGAAGAACTAATCAAACAGGTCATAATGGCATCATATATCTTTTCTTCTGCTGAGCTGCCCAACCTTTTTTTCTTGTCATTTATTGCATTGACTACTGGTTGTGCTTTTTATAGAAAAATCACACTTGATATCGAGCATTTGAAGACTGTTGGGATGCAGCTGGGAGGGAATAAGATTGCTTTCAATAATCACACTACAGGAAAGGGGCATCTAATTCTCCACCAGAAAGAAGAGCTTTCAAATTAAAAGATGTCATTGGAACGAGAGGAAAAGGACACAAAATGGCAATGAGTAAACAGTCTGGAAAAAAAGAGAGATTTATAATCATGGGAGAACTGGAAGTGTGGAACTAGTTTCCAGCAGAATCCAGGATGCATTTTCCAGGTGAAATTCAATAATTTGCTTGAGGAAATTGCCAGACATCATTGTCTACAATGCTGGACTACCATCATAAAGTCCCTTCTAGTTCCACAAGAACTGCATCAAAGTCCAAAACCAGGAAAGGACATGAGGGACAACTCACTCCCACACAAAAGAAAGTGATCTTTCTGCTCTCAAACTGGGAGAGTGGTGGGTTTGCATCTTGTCTGGGTGACTGCTATGGACAGTCAAAGCACAGCATTAGACAGAACTCTTCACATCTCAGAAGTCATTGCCTGCCCCCTTCTTTGGCATGCAGCTAGATGTTCATGGGCTTAGCTCCAATTTTGGATATAGATCTCTTGCTACAGAGTTTATTGCTCCAGCTTGCCAAGAAGCAGATTACTGTCTTTGGGAATAACACTACTATCTTGGGAACATGCAAATGCCTCTCCTTGTAAACTGTAAACTGCCACATATCTGTTAAGATTTAGACCAGACTCCCAGCAATGTCAGTACCTACCAGATCAACAACCTGCTCTATCTCACAGGCCTTTCAAGCAACACTGCCTGAAGACTGTCTCAGCTCCAATGTCCTATTTGCTTTCAAATGCCCACAATTTCAGACTTTACCTGTACAGAAAGCTACCAGCTACTGCTTATGGATATACAAAAATTCTCAGCCCTTCACTAATGATATGTTACAGTGTTCCTATGGAAATGGGAAGAGATCTGTCCTTGTGCTTGGAATGAATGAGATGCACCGGACTGTTGTTATGGAAATGTTTTGCATTTTTTGTAAATGCCAATTATATGAAAACAAAAACCAGGCTGAAAAAGCATAAAGGTATTTTCTACACTGAAATATTTCAAAGGGATATATTGACAGTCCCTCTGAGATAATAGACAAAAGAAAAAAAAGGAAATCAGGAATAGCTAATTGCTAGGTTTGGTCTGAAGTAAATGTCAAAAAGGAATCAAAATACAAAAGGCATCAGCTATGACCATCATAAGCTTGTACTCTTGCTATCTTCCTTTTCAAAACACTGGTCTTTATTAACTTGGTTTAATTCAGTTGTTACATACATACACAACTCTGACACACAGAACCATGATTTCTGTGCTTTCATCAAGATAAAAAATTGTAAACAATATGTTAATATTACTCATAGTTTGTTTCATACAAAATAAAATAATTTCACTAATGACAGGAGGGTCTTGCACTGTTTTTCAGGGGCACAGTAGTGCAGGCTGTGAAGAATGCAATTTTGACACATCGTATTGCAATGTTTTTTTTTTAAAAAAAGAGCTGTAGTTCTTCTGCTTTCATTTTTATCTTTGCTTATAGATAAAACTATTCACTGACTTCTGCACAAATTCTTTCAACTAGTCTGAAAACACACATCTTTTAAAACTAAAAGGCTATTTGATCCAAATCTTCACCAAACTCCATACAGGCACACGCAGTATGGAGTTTGGTGAAGATATATATATATCTTCATATATATGCAGTATATACCAATACCACAGCCCTTGCCACCCCTTTGCAGGCACATCTTGCACCCATGGCAACCTAATGACTAAGTAATTAAATGTAGTAATACAATATTACAGTCACTATTTTAGGGAAAAAGATTTTTTTTTAGATCAAAGTTTGGCAGGCAGCTTCAGAGTCACATCAAAATTAAGTCAGTAATGAAAGAAATCATCACCATCATGATTTTGATCTCATTAATTACATGGCCAACCTGATCTTTGTAACAATTTCTGTTATTATTCAATTGCATATTGATGTTTGTCTCAGTTTGGGATTTCAGTACTTTTTTTTCCAGTATCCTCTTCTTCCAAAAGAATTAGGATCAAATCAAAGCACACATTCCCTGTGTAGGCTCATGCTCTAATATTCTACCTGCACAGTTTGCTTCTAACCACCTTTCCTCCCCACTTCCATCATTGCTTTTCATTTATCACTCAAAAAAACCAAACATGCTTTTTAGAAGCCATAGCATTTTATGACATCATTATCAGCACAGCTTTCTTCCAGCATTAAAATTCATATTTACACCGGTAAATATTCAAGGGAGCACGAAGGGGTGAAGAAAGGATTTGTGCGTATCTCTGCGTGTGTATGTGTGTAAAATGAGCCATGGGGATGGGTGAGCACAGGCCAACTTCTCACAGTCCCTGCTTGTGGGGACACCCAGACCTTCCTGGCCTCTTTGGCCGATGATGTGCCTGTTCCACTGACTATTTTTGCCACGTGAAGGTGACTCTTGCAATTAGCTTCATGCACCAGGAGATCTCAAAACAGCTCCCAAGGGCAGTGATGTTGGACCAGCAAAGAGTATCAGTGATCAGGCAGAACCCTGGTTCCCCTGGGGCCAAGTCTATGTCCCATGTGCTGCTCCATGTTACCAAGAGTTACCTTCAGGCCACTGAAAGGAGATTCTTCCAACCTGAGATCCACTTCTCCTCAGACAGCAGCGTGAAAATAGCACCACAAAGGTACCGTGGCTCCCTGCAGCGCCCACAGAACAAACTCTCATGTGTCATGATACACATGCCCCTTCCTCCTCCCCCACATTTTGCAGTTGCATGCCTTCAGGCCATAACTTTGTTCTACTGAGAAGCTGGAAAACTCTATCATTTTCCAGTTTGGCTACTCAGCGTTGGATGCTGCCAGCCCACCAAAGAGTTAAAGGCATCAGTACAGTCTGCCGATTGTTTTAATGGCAAATCAGTCTTGTAATGCTTAAATAATGAAGTCTCATTTTCAATAGTGACATTGTAGCAGATTTGTAAAGGCCCTCCAGTGCTTTAGCCCTCACACATGTTCCTATCAGACATCTTTGAAATAAGGAGGCACAATAGTCTCATTAAAAATAATTGGAGCTAAGCATACAGCTACTTTAGAAAATTCTTCCAAGTACCTACCTGTATCTTTAAGCATCTAAATACTTTTAAAATCTAGGCTGAAGGGAATACAAGTCATTAGCATTTCCTGCCAAGCACCAGTTTTATTTTTTAATTAAAGTGATGCTATTTCTGTTGATCCCCTTGGTCCTTCCAGTGACCAAATGCCAGAAACAGCAAATTCTAAATTAGTGCTGTGAAGGTACAATGGAGCAGCACCAAAAGCTTGCTTAATGACACCTTGCCCCTTCCCAATGCCCTTGGGGCATGCAGCCGTCAGCAAAGAAGGCAGCAAGGTCATACTTTTCCTCCTATCTAATTATCCTGCCTGCCATAGCTCTGCAGTATTCTGGGGTGTAATTTAAACCCTAAGACATGGTTCAGAACTTTATGATCTGCTGGTGGTCTACTTGGGATGTCTGTAGTGGGGCAGACTGCCTGGACTCCACTGCTGTATGGTACCCATGTATCTAATTAACAGCACTGAAACGTGCCTTCAGGTTTTGGATCAAATCAAAGATGACTTGAGAAAGGTGGTTTACTTCTAATTCACCTCAGTTCAATTACACCAACATACACAGCCTTGACAAAGGAAAAAGAAAGTATTTGTCAGTGGCATAATGGTGTTTCTTTCTGATGAACAACAAAGACCATGATGCCAAAAAGTTTCAGTGTTGGTAACACACCTTGTCCCCAGGACTGCACCAATTTCTGGAGGCCCATTTTTCTAGGCTGACCCAGAAGGAGGCAAATAGTGCACAATGCTTGTAGTGCCTTATTTTAAAAGACTCTGAGTACAAATTCATCAAGAGAAAGAAATGCTAATAGGCTGCTTGATGCTAATAGGTGACTCATATAGCTTAGAAAGGGAAGTTTTAATCTTTGTTTAAGAAGGAGCCAAGAACTCAGTTGGCAGTGCTGCTGCCCATGGTAGCTGCTGCCCAGGGAATGCAATGTACAGCCTCTCATAGTACTTCCAGCTATGCCATAATGAACTATAGGCACTGTAAATTTTTAGGGAGCTGGTCTTGGAAGAACATCAGCTTAGCTTCTCTCACTGTTGCCAAAGAGACATCCTTCTCCTCCCTGCCCTTGACATCAAAGAACACTACCACTTTTCATAACCAAAGAGTTCAGCACAAAACACTTCCCTGTGGCTCAAAAGCTCAGCAAATGCAAGTACAGATTACAGAAATGGCCACACTATTTTTTCTTCAGAACAGTAACCGCCAACACACTGCTGTGATGGTTTAGTGCATATATCCAGATTAAAGCTTTGTCCCTGCAGAATTGTTGATCATCTAGTTGGCAAGGAATCAGTCCACTGAGTCCTGCCTATAAGCATGAAGTGCCTCCAATATTTGCACAGCTCTACAACGTCAAACAAAAAGCTTTAAGACTGAACTCTTAAAATTCACCTGAGCCTTTTGAAATGGATTTACTAATGAGTAGGCTCAGATATGTTCTCTGAACTTTCCAATCAACGTAATCTTGCAGTGAGACATATTTAAAACTAACCTGGATATCTGTCCTTTCATTCCAGTTTTCTTACCTTTGCTGTAAGTATCCTTCTTCTGCTAGGTAATGAATTTTGCAGGCTCAGCTTGCTGTAATCAGTAAAGCATATGCCACAGTGTAAGCTGCAATACAAAACAAAGCACAAATTCAATATATTCAGGGGAAAAAAACAAATACATAAAATGAACATATGCTTCCTTTCAAAGACTTAGCAGCTTACTTGACTACTTCTGCATTTACTCTGGCTTTTAAAAACAATCCACCCAAGACATTCCAGTGCACAGAGCTCATGGCCTTCAGAGAGTCCAAATTCACACCTTGGGGAGGGATGTATAAACTAAACTATCTCCCATTAACAAGTGGGACACCAACATATAGACACATTAATTATTCTTGTGTTGCACACTTGGGAACTGAGAGCATTATGCAACTACTCTTTATTCACCTGCACTTCTGCAAATCTGTAGATTTCCTGCTGACCTATACATAAAAACTCCCAAGTGTCTTTTTTTTATCCCACTGCTTTCCTGACTTGACCCCTTCCATGGCTAACACTCCTGCTTTATCAGTGCCAGGCATGTCCACAGGGTTCCTGTCAAAAGCAAATTATTCCCAAAGCAACTTTTTCTCCAACAGTTTAGATTGAATTTTGTGGCCTCATGGAGTGGAGATCTGCTGATTTGACTCAACTACTACTTGTGTCTTCACAGTCAAGGCATCTGTGTATTGAGATGAAATTACCTCAAGAGAGCTGTAAAACAGACCATCAGCTTTACTATTTCTGTCTTTTCTGCTTTCTTGTTTAGTATTTTCTCAGCCTCAAACAATCGATCTCCTTTCTTGCAGGCATCCAAGTAAGGAAATCCAATCCTTACCCTGTATTAAAGTAGCCCTTAACATATCAGTACTGACCATAATTGGTTTTTTTGCACAATAACAAATCTTCTGGAAAAACTAAAATCTTGCCCAGCAGATTTATCATCTCTAGTGTCTGTGTTTGAAACTACAAGCAATGTCGAAGTGTATGAGTGTAAAAATACAGTGATAAAAATTAAATACTGTTATCTCTACTTAGATAAGAAGAGGGCAAGGCTAAAGAGCTCTGACATGCAAGGATATTTATGATGCTGTTGCTGATGTGTTCATACAAATTGTTATATTGATTGCACTGATGAATGTAGTGGTGCAAGTTCAGGGGAAACCTGAACTGAAAATCTTAAACATTCTTTTGTTCTATCACTCTGGTGTAGAGTTTATATTTCCACTAATGTGGTAAACACAATAGCTTCCCTTGTTCCTCTTTTGCTTTCAGCTCTGACAGATCTATCCTAACAAGGTTTTATTTGGGGACTGAAGGAACTGCACATCTCCATTTCCAGGAGATGTTGGCTACAGAGTAGAACAAACATCTATCCTGCTAATGTTACCCTGATAGGAAATGCAATCTCCAGACTAAAAAAAAAAAACCACCAAGTTTTCAGGAAAGAGAAAGTTTTACAGAAAATTTTCCCTCCTCTTCTTGAATGTGTTGGATCACCTTGGAAATTGCCTTTCTCTGCCTATTCACAGGAGAGAGTCTAGATGAAAACTCGGTCTGGATATCCAGCTTTCAAATGCTAAACTGAAGAATATTAGTCTGTTCCTTGGACTCACAGCAACTTGCTCCTGCCAGGAGGCTAAAGAAAGGAATAGCCACCTGCTACTCTCAGCTGCAGTGCTGGAAAAACCAGTCATGGAACTATGTACTAAAAGGAAGGACACTTGACAGCTTGTTTATTCTGTGGCAATACAGAGAGGGGAAAAGAAAACAAAAATATGGTGATCTTCTAAGCTGGAGAAGGAGCAGGTATTTTACTGTTGTTAAAAGGAGAACATGAAGTGAAGAGACTGCTGAAATGACAGGAGCATCATGACTACATGCAAACAGAGTTCATATAAAATACCCATTTTAAACCTAAAAAAACATTAAACATTAAATATGTGCTCTTTTCTGTTAATCTTTTCTTTCACCTGAAATAAGGCAGCTGTTTCGCTGGAGCAAATCATCTGCCAAAGGAAACACTGTGGAAACCCTCTCCCAAATGGCAAGTTTAAAAAGAAAAGGACAAGGAGAGCTGATGTGTAGCTGAAGTCTCTGATTACAGGTATGCTTCCTACTTTGAAGCAGCCATGGAAATCCAAGTGCTAAGCCCAGACACAAAGGCTGTCAGGATCCCTGAACTGCTCTGACCCCTATTCCCCCATGCACACAGCAAGAACAATCGCCACCAGAGAAGAGCTCTGTTGGAAAAAGCACTGACTTGACTGCCTCACTCACATCCTCCTGTGATTTTAATCTCACATTTTCACAAATTAAGAAGAATCCTCTTGATTTCAGCAGGGACCAGATGAAGCCCATCCACGAGAGCAGTATCTGAGTGTTAAACATCTGCCTTTCCCAAGTCGGCCTGATAAAATATCAAAGAGCATACGGACCATTTATTCAAGTAAAGAGTGTTTCTCTGGTTATAGATGTTGCAGCTGCCAAAAGACTACCTAGAAATTAAGTGTTCAGAATTTGGATGACTTTAATTAGCCCTCCAGAAAGGAAATGTGTAATCTCCCACCATGACCATGAATGGGAGAATTCAAGAAACAGCAATTTACACAGGGCTGCAGCTGCAGACATAAAAGAATGAGTGTATGTACAACACATGCGTATTCCTACAACAAACAAACCCTTGGGCTTCACATTTTAAGCCTTTAAACTTTGTGAAGACACAGAAGAAGCTGAAAGTGATGTCAAAACACCTTAACTCAAATTGCTGCAGCTACTTAAATTGATTTCAAGTGTCTGTTCTGAAATTACCTAATAATATATTGCATACATAAAAATCACAGCTGAAAATGGGACATCTCTTTCTCCTGATGAACATGGAACCACTCCAGGGCACTGAGCTATGTTTAAAAGCTCCTGTGAACTTTCAGAAGAGCTTTGAAGCAGAAATAGACAGGGAAGAGCAGGACAAGAGCTCCCAGGGACCATGGAACAGAGGGGCCATGGACAAGTTTGTTCCACGGCTTTGTTTCCTTTTGAAGGTTCAGTGTTTCTGAGCTTTTTGGCAGGTGGACATTTTAGTGAAATTATCTTTGTGCCACAACAAAAAAAGGCAGGGGTGGGTTAACATAACCCTACATATGTTCAGGAGCAAGAACTCTGCCAACTGTGATTTGGATGAGATAAAATTGGTAGTACTGCTAAACTCTCATTTTTTAAATTCTCTTGATGTTTTTTCCCCCATAAAATTTGACAGAGCTCTGGAAAGTGTGAACATTAGAAAATGGTAAAATCTTGGAAAGGAGTGCAGTTGTAGTCTCTGGTTCAGGTAATGATTTTAGGTCTCATTTTCAGACTTCAAGTTTTTTCATAATTTTTAAAATAGGCATTTTGCTTCTTCTGTGACTGAGATTTTCACATAATAGCATGAATTAAGCTGCTAGAACTTTAAAAATAGCACCATGAAATATTGCACCAAATACCACAGGAATAGAGATTTTTAAAGAGACAACCACAGATTGCACAGCTTGGATTCCTGACACAGCACTGCTACTGCAACAGGAGACCCCTCTGCCCTTCAGTCTCCAGTCCCAGCTGAGTGGAGAATCTTCTTGGTAAGAATGCACCAGATGAAATTTCCTCTTCAAAAGAAATGTTTCTGCTGGATATTAGCAACCTTTTCATCACTCATCCACTGGGAAAAACTGTTTAATTAAGTTACTGTGCCTGTCTCTGAATAGCTATCTAGTCCTAGAAGGATACTAAGATTGCATTATAATTAGATCCCACAAAATTCTTTTTCCTGAAACCAAAACCTTCTGGCAGTTCTAGATCTTAAAATGAGTTTTACAAAAGAGTTTTAGAACATCCATATTTGAGTTAGACTGTTCAACACATGAAACTGACTCATCAAATAAATTTAATGTAAAAATTAATGAAATGTGGCGCTTTTATCTTGTTCACATAGAAGCCAATCCAAGAAAGTTATTTAAAACTAGCCTGAATATAAGGCAGTTTAGGACTGATCTTTCCAGCAATAATAATTATGTTATTATTGCACCTATGCAAACTGTTGGACTTCAACAGAGTTAAATTATTCTATGACTTGACCATGTAAATTCCTTTCCAGAATCTCCTAATACAGAATTCTGCCTTCATATTGCCTTGGTCATTCCTAATCAGGGATTGCAACCTGAATTCTTTTCCTACTCGGATTCAAGGTCCAGAGCAATAACACTTAGCACAGGCAGGTATGCAGAACACGTAAAATCCACCTGGGAGCTGAGCGTTTGACTCCTGTTAGTTCTTGTGCTTCCTCAGACATTCAGGGCTGCATTTCCTTCTTTTCGGAGTTCAAGGCAGAAGTCAATTTATTAAGAAATCGTGGCATTACACTGCCTACCTACTACAAGCTGGGGTAGTCCCAGGCTGCTCTGCCTTGCTCTGGGGCAAGCACCAGTGGCCACCCCAAGCAGCAGGGAGATGGCTGAAGGTGTAGAGAGACATTTCTGCATTGCTGCTCATCACAGGCAACTTGTGCATGCTGCTGTGTCTCCATCACATTCCCTGGGTGATCCTACAGTGATTATTGCTCAGCCAGGTGCCAAAGTTTCTCATATAATGTTTTCAGTTCAAGGTGATCCAACAGGAGAGAGCCTCGTTCCTGCCATGTATGGCCCTGTGAGGTAGAAAAGGCTGTTTTCATTTTCATGTCATCTGGAAAAGGATTCTGGAGGCAGAGCACAACCTTGCACATTAACGATGGTTCATAAGAATCCTGAACTGTGAAGTGTAAAAATCAAACACACATGCACCCAAAACCATGCTTGCACTTCAGGCTCCAAAAGGATGGACAGCACTTAGCCATTAATAGAGGAAGCTTCTCAGATTAAACTGCATTTTTTTTTTAAGAATTACCAAAAGAAGGAAATGACAGATAATAAACAGTTAAATGTTTCCAACTGTCTGATTGGTCTCCAGCATCCTCTCTTTGCACAACATTGTACAGGCCAGTATTTGCAAACACTTCCAAAAACCCAGAGACACAGCCTTTCCTGCAT